GCTGTTTTCCCTCTTCTTCTAGATCAGTTCTCACAGAATTACTTATTTAAACAGTTCTTGCTGTATTAGAACAAAATAAAATTCTTATTTATTTCTGAATAAAGATTATATTTTCCTCTTTGTTTCAATATTGTCTTCCGATAAAATAAAATTAATTAGGTATTACTTATGGACACGACATATTCTTCTTCTTATAGTAATTTTATGTCGGTATGATTCTTCCAAGTTGTACACCATAAATAACCATATATGTATAACCATCCTGTTTACCTCATGTATCAATGTGTATAAATTACCAATTATTATTAAGCATCTGTCTGATATTATTCTGTTATATCTTTTAGAAACAATACTGACAATTACTTCCATAAACAAAATTACCAAAAGATCTCAAAAATAAACGGAGTCAGAATTACATTATATTTTCATCACGATCGTCGAGTCCTAATCAAGATTTACTAAAACTTAATCAGTTACAATCGGAATACATCGCCTGGGCTACTGTGCTGCATGTGCGTTCGCTATTTAAATCCCGACAACGTCTAAATTGCTTGCCATTTGTTTCTCGTACTACAATACCACCCACGTGACACTTAAACTCTATTTATCGTCTAATCAATCAAGACTTGAGGTGACTGTGGACCGATTCGACGCGATTAAGGTCCAATTTCGTCTGCGTCGATTCGAGGGAATCGCGGATATCTCGTCCCGAGCTGAAATTGCGGGCGATTTCGTCCTTAACGGCTTGCGGAATTCTTATCTCTCGGAGATCGCTATCCAATTAAATCTGACAATGGGTTTACGTTAGTGACACAAGTAGTGAAGTACGCTCGGGCTGGAAGTTTTCTTCGGACTGCGAATAAACTCGAATACGAAAGAAATTTCGTATCATGGGAAACATCGCGTTTTACAAATCTCGTAGCTGCCTTGCAGCTAGAGATGTTATAAACATTGGGCACCAATGACGTCATATACAGAGGAAGCCAGACAACAGTATAATGTAAAAATACTACATCGTAAAAATTACGCAATCGTTAACTTGTACTCAAAATTAGTGATTAGTTAAAGTTTTTGAAAATTTGCCGTCATTAAAATTAAAAATCAAGTAACTACTGGTATCATATCACATAATGAAAATAGAGCAATAAAAAATGTTATCGCCCATGACATAGTGGCTATTTATTGTTAGCAATCTAGTTTTTGAAGTGAATACTCAGTGCTCTAGAGAAACGGGAAAAATTCTGTTAAAATGTCGTTTCAGTACCATACCACTGTACCACTTTACGGAGTAAGGGAAGGCTTTATATTTGCTAAGCCGCTTTTGCTTTTGTGGAAAAGCGAAAAGTTATTAAAAAGGCTGTTAATAACATAAGGAGGAAGAGAGAAAGAAAGCATTGACAACGTTTGGCAAGTCAGCCATAGAAATACCAGATACGTTTCGGAAAGTTAGCCTTTAGGTATGTGTTCTTCCAGTGCCATCCCCTCACTGAGATTGGCGGCTTTGTCTCTTGCAACGTGAACCAGCTCTTCTACACTCATCTGAGGCCAGTCTCTGATGTTTCTTAGCCAGGATTTCTTCTTTCTTCCTATGCCTTTTCTTCCATCCACTTGTCCCTGCAAGATAGTCCGTAGTAGTTCGTAATTATTTCTTAGAATATGGCCAAAATAAGCTATTTTTCTTCGTAATCATTAATTTCCTTTGTTGCCCTATTCTTCTTAACACTTCCTTTTTAGTAATTCTAGCTGTCCAGTGTATTTTAAGGTTCTGCGATACAGCCACATGTCAAAAGACTCTAGTTTCTTGATGGTCTAAGCCTTGAAAGTCACGATTCTTCAGTAGTTGCGATCACATTTAGTATTCAATAAACTTCAATCTTAGTTTAAGGCATAGATTTTTGTGGCTGAATAGTGTTTTAAATCTTAAGAAACACTGCCTCGCAATTTCAGTAGTTATGTAAGTTCCATGGTATGTGCGCCTGATCTATTGTAATTACTTCTATAATTATAAGTTATCTAGCGATAATGACATCTTGGTACCTCTAGTGAGACTACACCTGAGCAGATGAACACTTTAGATCAGCCCTTGCGCGGAATCCACTTCCAGCGGTTGACAAACAGTAATACGCACTATTTAAATTGGGTAAAAACTACGATAAAATAAATTCACACAATAACTATAACAATAACACGTCAAGAAGTGACTGAAATTTGAGAATTAGAATTAGTAACTTAATAAATTAAAAATAATATCATTAATCCAACTCACTTGTAGACAAACAATCAAAACTAATTGAATAGTCGCTTTCGTTTGTATTTCGTAGAAATGTTAAAGCAGTGGCGGAGCACGATCGTGTTTAAACTGACTTACAAACCAAAAAAAAATCAACAAGATAGTTTTAAAAACTGAATTTATTATTGCCTTGATGATTTCTATAGGGTTTGACAAGTAAAATGTCACTTATTTGAATCGGTTCTTAAAGGCAAAAACGATCTAGGGAAGAACCTTCAGATAATAGGAGTTTAAAAATAAAAAGCTAACTTACTGAACGCCAAAACTTTGTTTATCGAAATCCGTGACATTTTCTCTATTCAATCTATTCAATGGATGCGAAGTCTGTGCAGAAGCATAGATTGGAAACTGTACTCAAAACTACAACCATTTAATCTGTATCATCAACAATCAAGTTAGTTGTAAATTTTCAATGATATTCAGAACTTTTTTCTCAAAAGGGAAGATGCGCAGGCATCCATTTCCCAGCCGAAGCGCGACCAGAAGCCCGTGGATTAGTACTTGTTAATGACCGTTAACATAACCTAAAATTTCGGCGCCCAAAAGAAACGACTCAATTTGCAAGCTATATCGGTACGAAGATAACGATGGCTCTGCCACACCGGACGATACCTTTGAAACGTTATGTATCAGCACCAAACAAACACTTAAGATAAAGCACGATATTTATCGTTTTCGTGGACTATCTTTCCAAATCATCAACGCACGCCATTTAAATCCGATTCAAAGAATCCGCTTAAGCGGGTTTAACAAACCGTACGAGCATGACTTTTTCTTTTTACGCGATTCGGATGCGAATCGATGGCAGATACCAGATAAACGCTTAAATGTGTTGAGTACTACCTGGGAAAACGATAACAGAACCGCTAATTTAAATCCGAAATAATTATTCCACGAAACGCGTTACGTTTAACGCTGCGCAAACGGGCACTGCGCATGCGACGACTGTATATCAATTGAAAAATTGATTTCATTTCTCTCGTTCTCGGCCGATACATTATCATCTGGTGTCTTTATTTATGAGCTCCTGCTTCGAACGTTTATTGGCAACCAAATGGAAAAAATGATAAAGTGGAACCGAATGAGTAATAATATGCTCAGGTAGCCGGTCTCGCTTGATATATATTAACGTTTATGTAGATTCACTCCAACTGTTATTACATGTTTTTGATTTCTCGTCGTAAATAATGGAATAAGTGGAAAAATTCGCCGACAGGCGCTTGTTAAACAATTAACACTGTGACAGTTTAACAAATATATATCCCCTGCCGTTTGGACGTTTACTTTTTATAAGGAATCTCACAACATTTTTAAGCATGGATATAAAACCCGTGATGAAATAGCGATCCTTCGACTTTGCTTGAGTATCAAACTCTTGACTGGAACCTTCGGCACTGCACTAACACACAATAACGCGTTTTACCATAAACCGAAACTCAATTTTACGTACTTGACGCGCGTTTCGCCAACCAAGTTGGCATCTTCAGGAGAAGATTAAAACTGTCAAACGTGTCAAAATTTATTATGACGTTTCGCCAATCATCCTGTTGGCTTCTTCAGAACTGAGATTGGATCGCGTTCTACTCTGTACCTGTTTATATACACCTAACACATAACACAACATTTCTACGTGACTCCCATTCTACAGAGTAGAATGGGAGTTACTTTTCGAAGAAAGGATTTGCGAAACTTCAGCAAGTTCGATTTATCAAATACCGATACAGGAGAAATCCAGAGGATTTGTAAATAGTATAGCTTATGAAAGCTTCTTTGAAAAAGTATAGACTAAATATAATAAATTATTCAAGTATAATTTTTTCGTTTCTTTTAAAGCGCAAAAACCTCATCACGTAATTTTGTTTTGAACATAAACATCACGCAAATAGAAGCTGATACATCAGTAATCGACAGCATAACATCTCCCTGGTAACCAGAAAATTACCCAATGTTATGCAGCGCTATATCTTTAAAATAATAATGAGTTTCATAGAATGGAGAAAATAACATTTTGGTCGAGTACTACAGAACCGATTTGGTATGTCGTTGAGTTAGGTTCTACTTTTTTTAAAAACAATTAAACCAGCTAACCAAAATGTACTGCATTTTTCTATTTTATATCTACGACGTTTTTCTTAGTTTGTTTTTTAAGAAAAGTTAAACCAATTGAGAAGGAATTATATTCTACAACATAAAAATATATCGGAGTTTCTGAACAATCTGTGCGAATGCTCTGGAGATCACACATTTTTAATGACTTCATTCTCTGTAGTGGGTGTTACTAAATAACATTTCGTAACTTTTCAAGTTACAGCGTGTCAAAGGTGAAAATATTAATGCGGATTTTGTTGAAATTTGATGGTGCTGTTAACTGTGATACGACGCTTTCATCGTAAACGTACAATCGCGAATGTAACGTTATCCACATTTTTGTTCCACAATCAATCGATCGATAAAAGTAGAACATGTTTATTTAAAACAATCGCCAAAAGAAAATTTGAGATATTATAAAGAAAATGTTTTTTTTTAAGCTTTGACACTCCATAATTTTAAAACCAAACATTTAAAGCACATACGCGTACATGAACTTCGATACTTCAATTTGAGCCAGCAATGTGCACCTGCTATTGTTACTTATCATTAGCTAACACCCTGTACAGTTACTGGATGTTTTTGGCGTTGACATTTTCAAAAAATACATCTTTTTTTTCAGAGTTTGCAGAGTGCGGCGAGAAGGGCTGGTACTAGTTGCGCAAATTGCAAAACGACCACGACGACATTGTGGCGACGCAACCAAAACGGAGAACCGGTGTGCAATGCCTGTGGGTTGTATTACAAATTACATAATGTAAGTGTAATTATTTTATTTTATTATCGCTTCCGCGATCTTCAATTTATCTCAAGTTCTGTCTTAAGGCGGGTAGCCGATGCTCGATGTTAGATATTAGTCTTGGCACAGACAGAAACATCTTTGTAACTTTATGTCAGGTAGATGTATTAGCAACACGTTCAGTGAATAATTGTCACCGTTTCGCCTTAGTTATTTTTTCAGAAAATGTCGCCTTTGCTCAGTTACCAATTTTTTTCTGTTTCCCTGATTTGATCACTTCACTTGAGGATACTGGAATTTTTAGTAAATTGTTCTTAAATTGGATTTTCATTACTCAATGTATCTCTTACTTTGTGTTATGCAAGTACCTAGCCATAGCGGGGGACGGCGGGAGTGCCCCTTGGGTTGTATTGAAAGTCGAATTAGTTAAAAAGTATATACAGGGTGTTTCAAACTCGATATGCCGATAGACACTAACTTCACATTTACAATCAATCTTAATTCACGTTTGATTCATAATAATCCATAAATGCGGCATCAAAATTACATTCTACCTGTGAACTAAGGCAGTTACCACATTCAAACAGGGTTTCTTTTTAAAAGCAACGTCAAATTGTCAAAGTTGCCAATCATGTATAAAGATTTCAACTTATTAAGTTTGATGTTTTCAGTTATCACAGTTGAGCCGTAAGCCGTTTTATTTAAACCATAACAAAACTTTAATATCATATACGGCATCTATTTTTACCAAAATTAAAACTTAAGTATCTTGTATATACATAATTAATTATATTTGAAGTACATCTCTCCTAATGGCATGTAAAAGGTGCAGTGCTATTTTCATTCCAGGTATTGGCCTGTTTTCCAGACCGGATTTTTGAAATTTCATTTTTTTTTTGCGCATTTTCATATATTGCCAATTTTGTTTATGTTATATTCCGAGTTAATAATCCAATTTTAGATGATTTTATATTTGCGTGTCAGTATTTTAAAACTAGAATGCTTGCGCAAACTGTCACTTTGTGACCTCAAAAAGTAATGGTTGTACAACACGTATAATATGCAACACTTTGATCAAGTTCTTTAGGCAGACACTCGCTACGTCATCATCTAATGTCCCCTAATGTTTTCTGCACATATTCACACTAGGTGGTGGGATAAAAATTGTTACCGTAAATATTTGCACCAGATCTAGATCGTGCAATAGTCAGCACAAAATCTTCTATCCCTCCGCTATATAACTACAGGATAATTATCCCCTCGAATTCCGACGACGCGGCAAAAATCAAAACGCGATTTTGACTCCTCGGACGGGACCTTCAAGTTTATCCGGAGTAAATCCTGGCCATAAAATAAAAGCAATGGTCCGGAACTTTTCTCATCTTTGTTAAGTGACACGGGAAATGGCAATGGCGATGAGACAAATTTCGCTTTCTTCCGGTCAGCGGCAAAACATAGTCGACGTTATTGCGAGCCCTTTGGGACGATTGCAGATAGCGTATTCTAGCGTGTGTAATGCTGCGATCGAAGAGTTTTCGTCTAATTCCTGCCGCACTTAATCTGTTACGTTTTGTCGGCTGACGAAAAAAAGAACGCGATTAATGTGTTCAGTATTCTGTCTTGCAATAAATAACTGTAAACAAATACCTTGTTTTGTTTATCTATTTATCTCAACGACTGTGCAGCCCTACATAATTATGTTAAAGATATTATTGTTTATTGACGATATTCATGGTCCTTTCCGTAGAGCTGATCCTATACGTGTCCTTACTATTACTAAACTTGAAATACGTCGTAATACTTTAGTACATTAAATTATATCTCTTTTTCTTACCTAACTACTACAGACTTCTATATAAATGAAAACCAGTGTTTGTATTAAGTTATTCCTCGGGTTATTTTCAAGAGATATCTACCGGTTCTCTGCCACCATCGGCTGGCAACGTCTTAATATTCAGAGCCACCATTTTCCGCACGACAGAGCTGCGTTTTAATTTATAAAATGCATTTAATCAAGCGGCTGTTCTGGGTCGTCGCGATGGGTACCATCATCTCCGGTGACTTGACAGCCTCCAACTGGCTTCGAGAGTCTCGCACAGTGTGCTCCCTCTTTTAGCTATTACGGTACTAATAAAACTGTGTAACTTGCATAAACTTGGTTGCGTTCGGCAGTTTAAGCCGAGGAGCGACTGACTTTTGATTTGATCACGTTAATCACAGAGAACAAACGAACCCCGTTAGATCGTTCAAATCCTTGAGAATAGTAATAATAACAGAGTTGTAGATTTTGTAATAAATACTCTCTACGGTGTATACGTCTATCCCACTTTCTGGCGTTGAATGAGGAATGAATGTAATATTTCCTAATTTATGTCGCTTTCTTTCAAAATTGAAAAATATTAAACCCAATCAAAAGCGAAATAAAAATGCAAATCAAAATGATTTTACATATACATAATATTAATATTTTATAAATTACCGAGCATCGAAGCTTCTGTTGGCTTGCCGTTGGTTGTTTATAACATTTTTTTCAGAGTGGCTTCAAAAGTTCCTGTAGCATTAGCATGGTCTCTATATGTGTTTGGCGAAGGGTTAACCAAATTTCGAAGTCTTAACTTAACCTGCGCCTTAATAGTGACCGATTTTTTTGTAGCTTTGGTTTTGTATTGTTAACAACGTCATCTTACAACTCATTAATTCGGTAATATGCGTAGCCAGTTATGGCTTTGTTAGAGCAAGGATATATCGCAGAACAAAATCAATTAAAAAAAAGAGTTTTGGAAACATATTCAAGAAATTACATAAGTAAAAATATCAATTCTTGTAAATTCTTAAAAATAAATACAGAAGAAAAGCAATAATGTAAAAAAAATCGGGGATCTTTAGCGTACAGGACTATCAACAAAATATTTTCGAAACCTTCGAACCCCATCAAGTTTGACTAACTGTCCGCCAAACATCCTATGTATTTAGTAGCTGTATGAGAAGGAACGATACCGTAGTTGAAAAATAAACAATAATTTTGTGTTAATTTGGGCCATAACAGAAATGTTTCCATTGTAAAATAAACAAATAATTAAAACACCTACGATATGTACATGTACATATATGGTATGTACTCCACACATATAATAAAAACTTTACAAGGAAATTATTTAACAATACAATAACCTCATTTTCAATTTACCATTGTTTTTAAGCTTCTGTTCATATTACCCCCATATAACTTGAACCAAGCAGGTACACACCAAAACACACAGCATAAAACGAAACAGTCTTAAGTAAAATGGATGTTTTGTTTTAAAACTGGGAGGTGTTACGGTTTTCTGTTTCCATCACGAATACATTTTGATCATTTGAATATGCCGTAACTCAATTTGTTCAAGTTTGGGATGTCTGAGTTGCGCTAGACTCACAGTAGAAATTGTGAGCGCATTATTTCCTTTACAGTGGGTTTCTCTGCGGTGTTCACAATGCAGAACGCCTTTTTTGTTTTACTGTCTTTCACAAAACATCTTCTTCGAACTTCCCTAACAATTTTTTGATATTTAATTTAATTTAAAATTCAAATTTACAAGAAAAAAATCGGTTTTCAACTAAAGCAGTTTCGTACCTAACCTCATACATTCGAATTAATCTAAGCAAAATGTCCGAATATCGTCGTTTTATAACATTCTAATTTTTTAAAATTTGCCATTTTATTTTATTTTTTTCGATGGTTTATTAATTAGGGTTAGGACAAAGTATATAATGTTTATATCAGATGCATCTGCAAAATTGATGGGTTAATTGCGACGATTCACGTGCGCCTTAGGGTTATACCAGTCATTTTTTATTTTTATGGCTTAGTAAAAAAATAAGCATATGAATGTAAATGAAACTCGTGACTTAAGTGACTTTTATCAAACTTGTTGCATAATATACTTTATGTGTATAAACCCAAATGGAAATTTAATTCCGTACCGGGATGCCACTATAACAGCATCACGTATAAATATCCGGGAACAAACACTCCGGGTTCGGTGCCCTATTGTCCGGATAAAGTATTATTCCGGGACGCGAACACAAAAGACATGTTGTCGTATTGACCCCCGCGTCGGGGTGGTTAATGACAGAGCAGGGGTCCGATTTGAGATTTGCGACCTCGATTACGTCAATTACTGTACAATATCTAGTTGTTAAAGCACTTGAAGACAAGGGCGGCCTCTGTATTCTTCTGTAGCAATACGTTCGCAAAGTATCGGTTCCTTCGGGTCAATAAAGTTCGCTAGATATAGGTTCCAAAATGGAGCGACAAAGTTTTTGTGTATCGCTTCCCTTTGATGTATTCGCCATAAGGTAAAGTGAGGTCTAATTCTTGTCATGGGAAGTACTTCGACAGTATTTGTGTTAGAGCAATAAAAAAAATTATACATATTGGATAAACTAATAGAGCAATTTCAATTTCAACTCCAAACTGTCCAAGATGTAGTGCTAGGGGTGAAGTTGCGCCTAAATTAATAACAGTACTCCAAGCAGAAGTGGAAAAATGTTTTCAATTCTAAACCAGTGAGGAAAGAAATAAATAGTGTGAGTTGTGGATACGAACCATACTTTCGAGAATTTAAAGTAGTTCAAAATCGAGAGCTTTAAGAAGGAACTTCTTCCAAAAATTGAGCTTGTATCAACATATACTGTGGTTATAAAGAATAAGAAAGTCGAGAATCGCTTAGAAAAAGATACAGCGTCTTTGTTACACTAATCAATTTAAAAGAATAATAAATAAATAACAAAACAATAAAGTTTTTTAAAAGCAAACATCTTCCCTAATGACCTACGATGCACAGGGTCTTTTTTAAGTTTCCTATGCTTCATAGGGGGAGTAGTCAAGTATTTAAAAAAAATTGATTTTGATCAACTTATAGGTAGCGCTCCCGATAATAAAAAAATATGCCAAACTAAGTTCAAATTTAAATTTCACGCCAAGTACCAAATATTGTCCACTTTATTTCCTCAAAAGGCTTGAGAAATCGCTCTAT